GGCTCCCAGATGCAGAACAGGCCTGGTATCTCTGCCCACGCGGTTTGAAGGAGTCACCAGCTGACCTTGGCTCTACTTTGTGGTGGAAGATAAAGTCATGGTGTTTGTCTCTGGCTTCCTGCCTCCTTGGGTTTGCGTTGAGAGCCTCTCTTTCTCCACTGGGCTCCGTGCCAGGATTGTCTCCCCACCTGAGGTCCAGAATTCTGTTCTACTCTGCTCTCCCAAAGCTGGCTTTCCTAGTCAAGCACACCAGTGGCTCATGCCTATAATCCCGGCTACTCAGGAAGCTGAGATCTGAGGATCTTCAGTTTGAAACTGGCCCAATCAGGAAAGTCCATGAGACTCTTATTTCCCAATGAACCAGAAAAAGGGGGGAAAAAAAGCTGGAAGTAGAGATGTGGCTTATGTGGTAGAGTGCCAGCCTTGAGCAAAAGAAGCTCAGGGACAATGCCCAGGCCCTGAGTTCAAGCCCCAGCACTTCTACAACAATGACCACAACAAAACTAGTACTCTACCACTTGAGCCACACCTGCACTTCTGGCCTTTTGCTGGCTCATTGGAGATAAGACTCTCACGGACTTTCCTCCCTGGGCTGGCTTCGAACCCCGATCCTCAGATCTCAGCCTCCTGAACGGCTAGGATTACAAGTGTGAGCCAGTCTTGAGTGAAAAAGCTTAACAAGAGCTCCAGGCCTTCAGTTTGAGTCCCAGTCCTGCGCGTACGCACACACGCACACACGCACGCACGCACGCACACACACACAGACTGGCCCTGGACAATCACAGTGAAGTGGTGTTGCGTGCCTTTGGCTAGAGTGTCGTAGCCTCGCTGGTCTCTGAGCCTCATCAGCCTGGTGGCTGTTTGGATTTCCTCCGGAGTCTGTGGGCAAGTCCCCAGGTCCCATGGGGCCATTCACTCTTCTCGCTCTGCCAGTGGGTGACCAATTGGGTGAGGGCATGGCTGGATGTGGCAGCGTGGCCTTGTGGCACAAAACCATGGATCGAGGCTCCTTCCCGACATAGCTGGTCCCCCATCTTGGGGTTGGCCAAACTCCTAGGCCTGGATGGCCCCAGGCCTTGGCTGCCAGGCTGCCCTACATTCCTGCCATTCTCGGCCTCCCCGGGACTCTGGCATTCAAAGCCTGTTGGGGTGACTAGGTCAGATGGAGGTCCATCTTTGTCAGCCCCGCCCCCAGGGCTTGGCCCTTCCTCCTCTAGGCCTCCTTCCTTCCTCTTGCAAGCGAGTGGGGACCGCAGAACCAGATAGTGGGTGACCCAGAGACCCAGAGTGGATGGAGAAGGCTGGGGGGGGGGCTCTGCCAGGCCTGCTTTGGGGGGAAACCCACCCTGCAGAGATGGAGAATTGTCGTTGGTCTGGGATAGCAGGATGATGTGTCCCCTTCCTTCTGCCCCCCTCCCCCAGAGAAACCAGACCGTCTATTCTTCAACAGCATCAGAGCGCTTGTCATAACCCCACCATCTCTCCTATCTGGCTGGGGCTAAAGCTGAGTCCTCAGGGTCTGGTCACGGAGTTGAGATGGGGTAGTGGGGAGTCTCTAGACTGTGTTGTGTTTTTTTTTTTTTGGTTCCCTATGCGGTAGAGTGAGCATCGCACGGGGGTGGGGCCCTGCCTCAGGTCCTTGTCCTCCTTCTGTGCCCCCTCGCCCCCTCCCCTGCCCGAACCCCTGGTTATTCTGGGAGCTTTTAGCTACCACTTAGTCACTAATGCGTCAGGCTGTGTGTGTGTGTTGGGGGGGGGAGCCCGGTGCCAGACGGTGCTCCTTTTAGATATGCAGGATAGGAAGCAGGGGAGTCTGGGAGCTGGGGGACTGGGCAGTGGGTGAGGGCCTCCCCTCCCCTGATCGCACACGGCCCACCTTCCCTTTTCTCTTTAGGGCGCTGGCGGGCTGGTCTGCAGGCGTGTAGCACGTGGCTCGGCCCTCCTCCGTGCGCCTCCCTCCCCCACCCAATTCCTGGCCCATAGAAGCTTTTATCTGCCTCTCCGTCCCTTTTGGCTCCACTAGGCAATAAAAAGAGCATAGTTTAAGGGGGCCTGCCACTTAACTCCCTTGGCCTGGCCTCGCACCGGCCCTGCCTACACACAGCCTGGAAGGCCAATCTCAGCCCCCTCGGCCCGGCCCTCTTAGCCTTGATCCAAAAGGGCCACAGATCCTGGTCCTCACTTCCAGGCAGCCCTCCCCCCCCCCCCCCCCCCGTCCCCCAGATCCCCCTTTCCAGCCCTCCCCACCCCCAGCCGCTCCTGCTGACCGGAACAAAGGTTCCTTTCATGTATTCATGGCGCGGCTGTGGCTTTGACACTTTCCGGGCACAATCAGGCTCTTTGAGGGTCTCAGGCAGCGCAGGAGCCGGTAGCGACTGTGCCAAGGTCTTGTCCTGGGGCCGAGCTGCGCCATCACCCTCTCTCCATACCCATTGCCAGGCACCGAGTGGGCAAGGGCAGGAGCCCAGGGGTCACCAGAGGTGACTTCTTGGGGGTGCTTATTTCTCTACAAAATGGGGCCACCCATCCCTGCCTCCCCTCTCCTCCATCTTGCAGCCAGGATTTGTGTGTGTGTGTGTGTGCGCACGTGTGTGTGCGTGCACGTGCATGCGCTCACCTGCTGGACATGGGGCTTGAACTCAGGACCAGGGTACTGTCCTTGAGCTTTTTTTTTTTTATTGGCTTATGGCTGGCATCCTACCACTTGGGCCACAGCTCCACTTTTTTTTGTCGGTCATGGGGCTTGAACTCTGGATCTGCACACTGTCCCTGAGCTCTTTAGCTCAAGGCTAGCACTACCACTTGAGCCACAGCACCACTTCTGGTTTTCTGGTGATTTATTAGACGTGAGGGTCTCACAGAGTTGCCTGCCCAGGCTAGCTTCTAATCTCCAGCCTCAGATCTCAGCCTCCTGAATAGCTAGGATGACAGGCTGGAGTCACCCACTTCCTTTGACAGTCCAGTGATCCCCCTCCCCCCCCCCAGAGGAGCTGTCCAGGGTCCTCATGGGTAGAGTTGTACATTGGCCTCCTCTGGCTTTTCCACTGAGGCCGGTGCAGATGCTGGCCCTCTGGGACTGGGGTGGTCTCCTGGGGCCAACCTCTGCAAGACACACGTGTGAACCTCTCCCCCGTTCCACCAGGCTGGCTGTGCAGGGTGATGAGAGAGAGGCTCGGGGCTTCTGCAGATTGTACACCCTCTGCATCCAGCTGGGGCCGTCGATGACAGCATATGCTACTCAGGCTGCAGGTGAAGGGAGAGCCTTGAGGGCTGACTCAGGCAGACCTATCTGCAGGCCGCCGACCCCGGATTTACCCCAGCTCAAAGGGAACTGGAGAAGGCCAATGCTGAGCTCTGCCAGCATCCTGTACCACACTGGCAGCGCAGAACTGAGCGCTCAGCACTTTGCATTGTGTGTGTGTGTGTGTATACACTCAATACTGGGGTTTAAACTCAGGGCCTAGGCGCTGTCCCATACCTTTTGTGCTCAAGGCTGGTGCTCTACCACTTTGAGCCACAGCTCCACCTCTGGCTTTTTATGGTTCGTTGGAGATAAGAGTCTCCCAGACTTTCCTGCCCTGGGCTGGCTTTGAACCGTGATCCTCAGCTCTAAGCTCCCCTGCATAGCTGGGATGGCAGGCGCGAGCCATCAGTGCCTGGCTACCCCTTGACCTTTCTGTCTCAGGTGAATTGGAGGTAATTTTGGTAGCTGGGCAGCGGGGAGGGGAGTAATGGTGTCTGTTTTCTCCTGAACTGCTGTGTCAGCTGTCTGCAGAATATACCAGAAGAGCCAGGCTGAGCTGATGGCTGCAAACTTGGCACCCCCCTCACCCCCACCCCCATGGGCCATGTCTGTGTCCTTTCTTTCCATCCTCCGGAGAGAGCCCAGCCAGTTCCAACCACACAGTAGGATGTCAGGTGGTGAGGAGTGGTTCAAATGACAGCAAGAAAGACTCAGGGGAGGGGCTGTTGAAGGTGGCTCAGTGGTAGAGGGCTTGCCTCACATGCATGAAGCCCTGGGTTCGAATCCTCAGCACCACTTACACAGAAAAAGCCGGAAGTGGGCTGGGAAGGTGGCTTCGTGGTAGAGTGCTTGCCTAGCACGCGTGAATACCTGGGTTCGATTCCTCAGCACTCCTGGCGCTGTGGCTCAAGCGGTAGAGCGTTAGCCTTGAGCTGAAGAGCTGAGGGACAAGCGCCCAGGCCCAGAGTTCAAGCCCCACCCACGACCAACAAGATCTGGGGAAGATGTTGAGGAAATGGCAGCTTTTCTCTGTCTGGGCTTCGGGCACGTCCTGTGTGGGTGTCCCAAGTCCTGGCTTGTTGCTCTAGAGTTTACTGCAGCTGGAAAAACACTGGTCAGACCCAATTCCGGAGGTGGGAAGCCGCTGGGGGTGGCTGATTGCTGAGGGCACAGCCCCAGGCTAGCCCAGCCCCGGCATTTACCCCGGCAATCAGGACAACCGCAACAATGTCACGCCGGAGATGAGACAGTGCGTTCTCCAGGGAGGTGGTGGCTGCGAGAGTTTCTTTTTTTGGGGACAAACATTTGTGTCCTGGTCAGCCCTTCTATGGAAAAACTCAGGCTGTGTGCTGTGCTTCAGACTCTCCCGGAAGGGAAAAGCTGGGCTTTCAGCCTCCGTGGCACCTCAGTGGGCAAAGCTAGAATAGGGTTGGGGTGTGCCGGAGTCTGGCTTGGGAGGTGCTGTCCCAAGCCCCTGATTCAGGGGGACCCCCTCCTCACCGCCTTCCACACGTGCTTCCACCCCATGACTGTGCTTTCCCAACGGGAAATCGGGGCCAGAGGATTTCTATCCCACAGATCTAGCCCCGATCTTGTACCCATGGCAGGGCTGGGGCAAGCCTACAGGGCAGCTTAAAGGAGGAGAACTTGGGGTTCTGCACTAATTCCTGGGAACTTAAGGCTTTTAAATCGGGGGGGGGTGCTCAGGGCCCAACCTCAACGTTGCTTTCTCCCTGTTACCTCTTCCCGCCATGCAGGGCAGGATCGGGTGGATTTTGGCCAGGCTGAGCCCCACACGGTGCTTTTCCACGAACCCGGCAGCACCTCCGTGTGGGTGGGTGGGCGCAGCAAGATCTACCTCTTCGACTTTCCCGAGGGCAAGAACGCCTCCGTGCACACAGTGAGCCTGCCCCTTCCCCTCCCCCCTTCCCTTCCCGGCTTCCCCTCTGACCCTCACCCCCACCCTGAACTGGACCCTGACCTCCACAGCCCACATATGGTTCCCAAATGTAGTTCAGATTAGGGCATGCAGCCAAACAATGGGCTAGGGAAATTGAGGGCTGCTATACCTGACCAGGTGGGGGAAGGCAAATTGGGGAGGGGGGAGTGGGAGATGCTGAGCTTCCTGGCCTGTGTGTTTTTTTTCTTCTTTTTGTCAGTCATGGGGCTGGAACTCAAGGCCTGGGCGCTGCTCCTGAGTTCTTTTGCTCAAGGCTAGCGCTCTACTCCTTGGAGCTACAGCTCCACTTCCGGTTTTCTAGTGGTTCCTTGGAGATAAGAGTCTCACAGATTTTCCTGCCTGAGCTGGCTTTGAACCTCGAGCCTCAGATCTCAGCCTCCTGAGTAGCTGGGATGGCAGGCGGTGCCTGGCTCCTGGTCTTCTGACACAGCCGGGCCCAGTACCACACTGGACGGCCTATGGGATGATGGGAAATCTCCTTGTCCCTTTGAGTCTCATGCAGGGGTGGCCTGAGGCGGCATGGACAGCATTTAGGGGCGTCTTGCCGCCCCCTAGAAGAGCAGATTCATGTTCCTCTCCCTTTCCCCCAGGTGAACATTGGCTCCACCAAGGGGTCTTGCCAGGACAAGCGGGTGAGTATGGGCGCAGCATTGGCAGGGTCAGTATCCCTTGGGACGAGAGGAGAATCTGAAGGAGGAGGAAGAGTCTGCCCTGAGTCCCCACACTGATAGGAAAGGTTTTTGTTTCTTTTTGTTTTGTTTTGTGTTGGTCCTGAGGCTTGAACTCAGAGCCTGGAACTTTCTGTTGGCTTTTTTTTTTTTTTTTTCATCATTGTGGGGCTTGAACTCTGGGCCTGGGCGCTGTCCCTCGGCTCTTCAACTTAAGGCGAGCGCTCTACCACTTGAGCCACAGCGCCACTTCCGGTTTTCTGGCGGTTAATTGGAGATAAGAGTCTCTCAGACTTTCCTGCCCGGGCTGGCTTTAAATGGATCTCAGCCTCCTGAGTAGCTAGGATTATAGGCGTAAGCCACCAGCACTTGGCTTTCTCTTGGCTTTTATCCTCAAGGCTGCATAGCCCTCTATTACTTGAGCCACAGTTCCACCTGCAGTTCCCCCCCACCCCCACCCCCAGGGGTTAGTTTGTTCTCCAATGAGTCTCTTAGGTGTATCTGCAGGGGCTGGCTTCCAACGTCAATCCTCAGATCTCAGCCTCCTGGATAGCTAGGATTACAGGTGTGAGCCACCAGTGCCTGGCTTGTTCAGCCCTTCTGAAGTCTTCTTTTCTGAGTTAGAGGGTCTTGGGTCCCTCTTCACCCCAACCCCCCCCATCTCCTTGTTCACCCTCTTTCTCTATGCAGGACTGCGAGAACTACATCACACTCATAGAAAGGCGGAGTGAGGGTCTGCTGATTTGTGGCACCAATGCGCGGCGCCCTAGTTGCTGGAACCTGGTGAGCAAGATAACTCCCTCTGCACCCCACCCCGGTCCCCTCTGCACCCCAGAGAAGCCACTGCCTTCCTGGGTGCAGGGATCCCCCCTGGGTGGGCCTCATCCTGGGCAGAATGTCCCAGAAGACACTAGTCCTCCTGGCGGGCAGAGTCCGGGAGATCACAAGGCCATTGTCCCCCAGGTGAATGGTTCTGTGATTGCGCTTGGGGAGATGAGAGGTTACGCCCCGTTCAGCCCAGAGGAAAACTCCTTGGTCCTGTTTGAAGGTAGGGTGACCCTGGGAGGGAGCTGCTGCCCCCTCCTAAAGGGTGGGCAGGGGAGGGGTTGGGCGGAGCCCTGTCCAGAGGCCACGCCCAGGTTGGGTGGAGTCATCGTGGGACATGCCCACTTGTGGGTGGAGCTGTTCTAAGGCCACGCCCAGGCCTGGGAGGAGCCCTGTCCTGAGGCCACGCCCCCTCATCACCCCCCCAGGGGACGAGGTCTACTCCACCATTCGGAAGCAGGAGTACAATGGGAAGATACCCCGATTCCGCCGAATCCGTGGCGAGAGCGAACTGTACACCAGCGACACAGTCATGCAGAGTGAGTCGGAGCCCTGGGCTGGGCTGAATCTGGAGGGGAGCTTTGGGGGGGGCATGGTTTGTGTTTGGGGGTTTTTGTGTGTGTGTTGGTCGTGGGGCTTGAACTCTGGGCCTGGGTGCTGTCCCTGAGCTCTTCAGCTTAAGGCCAGCGCTCTACCACTTGAGCCATAGCGCCACTTCCGCTTTTTGAGTGGTTCATTGGAGGTAAAGAGTCTCGTGGACTTTCCTGCCCTGGCTGGCTTTGAACTGTGATCCTCAGGTCTCAGCCTTCTGAATAGCTAGAATTACAGGCATGAGCCACCAGCAGCTAGTTGGCAGATGTGTTTTGAATTGTTCAGGAAAGCCAGAAGCCAGGCCTAAGCTGAGGGGTTTGGGTTAGAAGAGCAGAGACGCTGTTGAGATAAACATATGCTGAGAGGCTGGTGGCTCACACCTATAATCCCAGCTAGTCAGGAGGCTGAGCTCTGAGGATCATGCTTCCAAGACAGCCAGGGCAGGAAAGTCTGAGACTTATCTCCAATGAAACACACACGCACACACATACACACACACACACACACACACACACACACACACACACGCATGCACACAGAGCCAGAAGTGGAGCTGTAGCTCTAGTGGTAGAAGCAGCTCAGGGACCGGCCCAGGCCCTGAGTTCAAGCCCCCCCCCCCCCCCCCCCCCACACAAATAAAAGGCATGGAGACAGGGTGGCTTCTCCCAGAGTGAGGACCCAGAGCCCAGGTTCAACTCTCTGCTGAGCTCACGTGTGGACAGCCTACTCCTCTGTTCATTAAGACTCTGCCAATTAGTCACAAAGTGACATAAGCGTCCCTAGGGACATTGCCCTTCTCCCCCTTTCTCCCTCCCCCAAGTCCCCAGGCATGAAGTCATTGCTCCTGGGCCCATGATGTCACCGTAAGACGGTGCACACAGGTGTGGGCGGGGCCACAGAGTTTCCCTGTCCTTTGGGTGCTGGACCTGGTGTCCCCAGTCTGACTCTTAAGTCTCAGCTGCCCTGGGCTTGTGTTAGGTGAATGGTGGGTGGGGTGCAGGAGGGAGTAGGGGGGGATGGGTCCCCCCGGTCATTATAACCACTCTTTAACCCCCACCTGCCCCTCCCTGCAGACCCCCAGTTCATCAAGGCCACGGTGGTGCACCAAGACCAGGCTTACGACGACAAGATCTACTACTTCTTCCGAGAGGACAACCCGGACAAGAACCCTGAGGCTCCTCTCAACGTGTCGCGCGTGGCTCAGTTGTGCAGGGTGAGCGGCCAGGCCACGGGTGGCCGCCCGTACACAACAGAAGCAAAGTTAGCCTGGGCTGGTGGCACACGCCTGTCATCCCAGCCACTCAGGAGGCTGAGGTCGGAGGATCAGGGTTCTTAACACATTGATCCACCATGAGCCTGGATCAGCCAGGCCCATGCCTCTTCCTCAGCCCCCTCCCCGTCCTTCCAGCCCATCTTCCTATGGGCCATAGGCCAGCACGCCTAGCAGCAGGTGTACCCCAAGCATGCGCAGTAGCCCCAAGCATGCACTGGAGCCCCAGGCAGGTGCTTAGGGGCCTTCTCTGCTCTCGGCCTTTCTAGGGGGACCAGGGAGGTGAGAGCTCCCTGTCGGTGTCCAAATGGAACACGTTCCTGAAAGCCATGCTGGTGTGTAGCGACGCCGCCACCAACAAGAACTTCAACCGGCTGCAGGACGTCTTCTTGCTCCCTGACCCCAGTGGCCAGTGGAGAAACACCCGGGTCTATGGCGTCTTCTCCAACCCCTGGTGAGCCCCTCCCCACCCGCTCAGCCTGCCCCTGCTGACCAAGGCCCAGGCCGTGCGTGCATGCGTGCGTGCGTGCGTGCGTGTGTGTGGTGTCAGTGCCATGGGTTTTGTTTGATCAGTATTTCTATTGTCTTTTTGCTGGTTCCCTGGAGAGAAGACTCTCATGGACTTGGAGCCTCAATCTCAGATCTCATCTTCCTGGGTAGCTGGGATGACAGGCATGCTCCCCCACACACACACCTCAGCCCCACAGCTGTGATATGTATTCAGTTGTATTCAGGAGTCAATCCGTGGGGTGTGATCATCAGGACCGCTGTGTGTCCTGCCTTGCGTGTGCTCAGAGCCAGAGCTGGGCCCGGGGAATGGCCCCCCAGGACTCTTCGGGGTGCGATGACACCTGCTCAGGCGCTGAGCCTGCTCCCTAATTCACACCCCTTAATCACTTTCATTGATTGAAAACAAGGCAGGCAAGAAAACCAAAAAAGTCCTAGGTGTGGTGGGGGAACGAAGGTCTCGTTCTGGCCCCTGTGTGGGTGGGGCGGCCTCTGGGGGGGGGGAAGGGGGTGAGCATCAGGGCTCCTGGGATATCCGTACCCCCATCCACACTGGGTTGGGTAGAACAGGTGTCCTGGGAGCTGGGCAATGCCATCTCAGAACCGAAGGTCTTAGTTTTAGCCCAAGAGATACTAGGTTGAACTTCCCTCCTACTCTTCCCTCTCTTTCCTCCTGTCTGTCCTTCCCTCCCCCCTATTTATTCATTTATTTCTTTGCTCAGTTATTCATTTTTTTTTTTGGGTCCGGTCGTGGGGCCTGAACTCTGGGCCTGGGCGCTGTCCCTCAGCTCTTCAGCTCAAGGCTAGCGCTCTACCACTTGAGCCAGAGTGCCACTTCTGGCTTTTTTCTTTTTGCTTATGTGGTGCTGAGGAATCGAACCCAGGGCCTCAGGCATGCAAGGCAAGCACTCTACCACTGAGCCACCTTCCCAGCCCCATCAGTTATTCATTTTTGTGTGCAGACCTTGGGGCTTAAACGCAGGGCCTGGCACTGTCCTTGAGTTTCTTTCTGCCTGGGCTGGCTTCAAACCGCAATCCTCAGATCTCAGCCTCCTGACTAGCTGGGATGGCAGGCGTGAGCCACCCGGCCCCCCGGCTTCCCTCCCTCATTTCCATGTATCCCAGGCCCCTGGGGCTGGGCCGTGGATAGTCTCGGCTCACCGGCTCAGGGGCCTGGGCTGGCCTGTGCCCCCCCCTGTCCCCCAGTGACGGCGGTCCCCATGCCCCTGCAGGAACTACTCGGCCGTGTGCGTGTATTCCCTCGGCGACATCGACCGGGTTTTCCGCACGTCCTCACTCAAGGGCTACCACGCGGGCCTTCCTAACCCTCGACCTGGCAAGGTGAGCCGGGGCTCAGGCCCCACCCAGCCCCACCTGCACCCCAGCTCCCAGGCACCCCCACTGATCTGAGCCTCTTTTCCTTCCCAGTGCCTCCCAGACCAGCATCCTATCCCTACCGAGACCTTCCAGGTGGCCGACAGCCACCCCGAGGTGGCTCAGAGGGTGGAGCCCATGGGACCCCTAAAGACGCCATTGTTCCACTCTAAGTACCATTACCAGAAAGTGGTCGTCCACCGCATGCAAGCCAGCCACGGGGAGACCTTCCGCGTGCTTTACCTAACCACAGGTGAGGCTGCCCTCGGGCCTTCTGGCTTCTTAGTGAAGATGCTTACGACCAGTAGAAAGGATGAGCGGTGGAAAGGATCATGGAGGTAGCATTTGCTTGGGCTGTGTGTGTGGCTGTGGTTGATGAAGCAGGCCTGGAGGGTTTCCTGGAGGAGGTGGGGCAGAGGGAAATGGGAAAGACCTGTAGGATAGGAGGAGAGCCTGACGTGGGATTTGAGGCAGAAGCAGAGTGAGTGAGCCAAAGCCTGGTGCGGTTTTGGGCTCAATGTCGGATTTAGGGAAGAAGGTAGTGAAGACAGATCTGGAAAGCCAGGTGCAAGGGCCTGGCCTTCTGGCCTTCAGGCCTTCTGGAAGGATCTTCCAAGTAGAATGAGGACCCTGGAACTTCTGCCTGAATTTGGGATTGTGTTGGTGGATTCATATGTGTGTGTGTGTGTGTGTGTGTGTGTATACGTGTATATGTCCACTGTCCCTGAGGTTTTTATTTTGCTCAAGGCTGGTGCTGTACCCCTTGAGACATACTTCTACTTCTAGCTTTTTGCTGATTACTTGGATAAAAGAGTCCTGTTGACTTTACCGCCTGGGCTGACTTCAAATCACGATCCTCAGATCTCAGCCTCCTGAGTAGCTAGGATGACAGGCGTGAGCCACTGGCGCCCAGTAAGAGGAAAGCCTTTAGAGTCAATTTGAGCAGAGGATTTAGTGCAGCAGAAGAGAGGAGCTCTGGATGGCGCCCCCCCCTCACCCCCCCGGGTACCCTCTGCACAGCCACTAGACAGAGAGAAGCCTCAGAGCTGGGTAGAGCCAGCTGGGTGCCCAGGCATAGGCCTTCTTGAAGACTGGAAAGGGCCTTACACCTCTGATACCTGAGCACCCCAGGCCTCGGCCCTGGATTGTTTCTTTACCTCCCAAGTTGCCTGGCCCAGGCCTGTGGTGGCCTGAGTGTAAGCCCAGGCCCTAAGACCATCGTGTGGCTCCCAGAATCCTCTAGGAGAGGGATTTCCCGTAGGGCATTGGGAAGCAGGGGAGGACAGGATCCCACGGGGCCGGGCTCAGGGCAGCAGCCCCCCCAGGAAAAGCCATGGGGCTCAGGGCCAGGGCTCCCATGCGGTCCCTTCCTGCACGCTCAAGGATTAGGGAAAGTGTCTCTGTCCTCCTTGAGGCCCACGGAGAGGAATCATGTTGGAGCCTGCAGCATTTGGAAATAGTGAGGCCACATTACATAAAATGATATAAAATAAAATTCTCTGCAGTCTTCCATCCGGAACGGAGGCTCTGGAGACTGGGAAGTTCTCTGGGAGGGGAAGGATAATGTCCCCAGGCTGATTGGAAGGAGGTGCAGGCAATATGTGCATGCACATGTGCATGTGTGAACGTGCACACCTCTGCGTGCGCATGCACCCAGGCTGGGGGCTTTGTCAAAGTTCAGGAAGACTCTGCCGGTGGGCATTCTAGAACCTGCTCCAAAGTGGATCATCTGATTGCTTTTTTTAGGGGCCCCAGGTGATGCCCTGGGAAATGGGGAAGAAGAGAGGAAGGGAGGGAGAGAGGGAAGATGCTTCTAGAAACTGGGACAGCAGGTGATATGGGAGTAGGAGAGCTGAGGGTCAGGATCCCCATTAGCCTCGGGCAGGTAGCTCCAAGGAGCACCGTTCTTGCAGGCAGTAGCCCAGTTCTACGACCTTGGGAGCACTTAAATGGAATCTGAAGTTCTTTTCAGCTGTGAGATTCTGTGGAAATTAAAATATCCCCCAAGACTTAAGTGCTGGGGATTGGATCTTAGAACAAAAGGAGGCCATTGTGGAAACACACACACACACTCACACACACACATACACCCCAAACCTATGCGATGCAGACAAAGCCTGCAGCATAGCCAGGAAGCGAGGCCCGTGTCAACAGCTCCGCTGTGACGGATGCACTCGCTTATATAAGGCAGAGCAATGAGGGGAAACGAGGAGAAGGCTGTCTGTGATCCGTCTTCACAACTTCCCCGGAAATGTCCACATTTCTTCCAAAGTAAGCAGTTGACATCATGGGCCTGTGTCCCCAAAGGGGCCAGCAAGCCAGCAGGGGCCAGGTGGAGGAAGTCGAGGGCTGGGGTCCCCTCCCTCCCCGCCCCTCGATCTGTGTTTTGTTGGCATCTTTGCCTTTCACCAGCTGTGTGACCTTGAGAGAATGGCTTGGCTTTGCTGAGCCTCCCTTCCTTAGCTGCGATGTAGGGGAGATACCTGTCCCCCCCAAGAAGGGCTGGGGACGGGTAAATGGGGTCACGGATGGTGTGCCCAGTCTTGGTTTGTCCCGAAGGCTGCAGCCCCAGGCATATTAGGGTTCTTTTCTAGACCAGAAGCTTCTAGATTGCCCTTGGGTTCCGTGCCCTCCTTCCCACTCTACGCCAGTCCTGTGACTTTCTTGCCCTTCCCGCCCCGCATCTACCCCTGCTGGCACAGTCTTGGAAGAGACCAGGCCTGGTTCTGGTATTTTTGGTGTGTTTCGTTTTGTTTTCTTTTGGTTGGCTGTGGGGCTTGAACTCGCAGCCTGGGCGCTGTCCCTGAGCCTCTCCATGCTCAAGGCGAGCGCTCTACCACTTGAGCCACAGCGCCACTTCTGGTTTGTGAGTGGCGAATTGGAGATAAGAGTCTCCTGGGGACTTTCCCGCCCTCGCTGGCTTCGAACCATGATCCTCAGATCTTGGCCTCCTGAGTAGCTAGGATGACAGGCACCTCCTGGTTTGGAGTTGGACTCCCCCTGTGGCTCACCCCCACCCACTGATCCTCTGACCCCCCCCCCACACACAGACAGAGGCACCATCCACAAGGTGGTAGAAGCAGGAGAGCAGGAACACAGACTCGTGTTCAACATCATGGAGATCCAGCCTTTCCGCCGGGCGGCCGCCATTCAAACCATGTCCCTGGATGCTGACAGGGTGAGCTCCCCCTCCCCCCCACCTCCTCCCACAGGGCCTCCCCACCAGCCCCGCCCCGCTGGTCCTGCCTTTTGAACTCAGGGCCTGGATGCTGTCCCTGAGCGTTTTCACTCAAAGCTTTGTTCTACCACTTGAGCCGCAGCTCCATTTCTGGCTTTTGGCTGTTTTGTTAGAGATAAGAGTCTCACGGAAGCCTGGCTGCTGGCTCACACCTGTCATCCTAGCTATTCAGGAGGCTGAGATCGGAGGATCGCAGTTCAAAGCCAGCCCGGGCAAGCAAGTCCGTGAGACTCTCTTATCTCCAATGAACCACCAGAAAACCAGAAGTGGCGCTGTGGCTCAAGTGGTAGAGCGCTTACCTTGAGCTGAAGAGCTCAGGGACAGCGCCCAGGCCCAGAGTTCAAGCCCCACAACTAACCAAAAAAAAAAAAAAAGAGTCTCACAGACTTTTCTTCCCTGGGTTGGCTTCCAACCATGATCCTCACATCTCTGCCTCCTGAGTAACTAACTGGGTGACAGGTGTGAGCCCCGGGGCCTGCTGGGTAGCAAGGCCCTCTGTGGCCTGGGTACTGGGAATCCCGCAGGGCCTGATGCTACGGACTCGCTCTTTCTCCTCGGCAGCGGAAGCTGTTCGTGGGCTCCCAGTGGGAGGTGAGCCAGGTGCCCCTGGACCTGTGTGATGTGTACGGCGGTGGCTGCCATGGCTGCCTCATGTCCAGAGACCCGTACTGCGGCTGGGATCAGGACCGCTGTGTATCCATCTACAGCTCCCACCGGTACCGTGCCCAGGCCCTTTGTGTCCCGGAAAGGGTGGGGGGGGAGTAGGTGGGGGGGAGCTGCCAGGGGGCACATCTTCTGACCATCTGCTTCTACCCCCAGCCCAGTGCTGCAGGCTATTAATCCGGCTGAGCCACACAAAGAATGTCCCAGTCCCAAACCAGGTATCTGCCCTGCCTCTGGGCCTCAGCTTGGGGTGGGGGGGGCGCGATGCTCTCTGATTGTGCTGGATTTGAGGCTGATCTGGCCCCAAACCTGGGGACCCTGGGCAGATGAGGTGGGACCCAGTTCTGCTAAGGGAACCACAGGGTAAGTGTAGGGTGTGTGTGTGTGTGTGTGTGTGTGTGTGTGTGTGTGTGTACACGTACGTGTACCAGTGCCAGGGCTTGAACTCAGGGCCTGGGTGCTGTCCCTTAGCTTTTTTTTTTTTTTTTTTTTTTTGCTCAAGGTTAGGGCTTCACCCCCTGAGCGACAGTTCTACTTTTCCTTATTATTATTATTTTTTTCTGGTTAATTGAACATAAGTCTCCTGGACTGTTCATGCTAAAGGGCTGGGTTTGACCCATGATCATCAGATCTCAGCTGGAATTACAGGCATGAGCTACGGTGCCTGGCCAGTCAGGAGGAGGGAGATGCGAGGAATGACGTTGTAAAACAGGCCCTCCTCTTTATTTAGAAGCCTTGGAACTGGGCGCCGGTGGCTCATGCCTCTAACCTTAGTTACTTAGGGGACTGAGATCTGAGGATCATGGTTCAAAGCCAGCCTAGGCGGGAAAGTGCATGAGACTTCTTACCTCCAGAAAAAAAAAGTCAGAAATGGTGCTGTGGCTCAAGTGGTAGAGTGCTAGCCTTGAGTAAAACAAGGAGCCCAGGGGGCTGGGAAGGTGGCTCCGTGGTAGAGCACTTGCCTTGCATGCATGAGACCCTGGGTTCGATTCCTCAGCACCACACATAGGCAGAAAAACGCCGGAAGTAGTGCTGTGGCTCAAGTGGTAGAGCGCTGGCCTTGAGCTGAAGAGCTGAGGGACAGCGCCCAGGCCCAGAGTTCAGGCCCCACGACCAACAACAGAAAAAAAAAGGAAGCCTTGGTGCCTTGAGCTCCTTTTCAAGTTGCTTTCCCCCACTTCCACTTCCCCACCGCCGCAGACGAAGCTCCACTGCAGAAGGTATCACTGGCCCAGAACTCCCGCTACTACCTGAGCTGCCCCATGGAGTCCCGCCACGCCACCTACTCTTGGCGTCACGAGGAGAGTGTGGAGCAGAGCTGTGAGCCGGGCCACCAGAGCCCCAGCTGCATCCTGTTCATCGAGAACCTCACGGCCCGGCAGTACGGCCACTATCGCTGCGAGGCCCAGGAGGGCTCCTACCTCCGCGAGGCCCAGCACTGGGAGCTGCTGCCCGAGGACCGCGCCCTGGCCGAGCAGCTGATGGGCCGCGCAGGGGTCCTGGCCACCTCTCTCTGGCTGGGGATCCTGCCTACGCTCACTCTGGGCCTGCTCTTCCACTAGGTCTGCAAGAACTGGGCAGAGCCCAGACTCCCACAGCCCACGGAGTGTGGGAGGCGGGGGGGGGGTCCCCCAAACATCTCCTGCTCATAGCCCGCTGGCCCCAGAAGCCACAGGCCCATCCATCAGCTCTTCCACGGAGACTGAATGACCCAGTGGAGGCAAAAGGCCTGGAGCTGTCCAGCCGCGGGCGGCTGTTGGGCCAGGTGGGGTGAGGGCAGGGAGGGGGGGTGTGGGGAGGGTGGGGTGTATCCCAGGAGGCGCTGGGGACATCAGAGATCCAAGACTTTATTTTCTGGAGGCTATTTTCCCCTGAAGTCCTCCCCTTTAACTGAATGCAATGATTCTCCTGGCCCAACCCAGAGTGGGCTGGGGTTTGGGAAAGGCTAGCCGGAGGCCCCCCCCCCCACTGCAGCATATCTAGACTTTGGGGGCTGAGGTTTGAGGCCGCCTTTCCTTTGCCCCCCCCCCGTGGTTTTTTGGGTTCTGGGTGGCTAATAGCTCCCGCCTGGCCTTTGTGCCCAGCTTGGTGCCACCAGACAGCGCCTTGCATGTTTATTGAAGGATGTTTTTGCTTTCCGGATTGAAGGATGGGGGTGGGGTGGGGTGGGGGGGGAGAGAGAAAAAAAGCAAAAAAGAAAACCCACAAAAAAAAAAAAAGCTCTATTTTTACGTTAGGCCTATTTCACGTATAGCTATTTCTTCTGATTGCATCTGTATGAAATACCAAAACTACAGGTGGGGGGGGTAGGGGTGGGGGGAGGAGAGGAAGGGGCTGGGAAGGGTGGGGTGGGGGCGGGTCACAGGCTGGCGTAAAGGGCACGGGTTTGGAGGGTACCAGGGTGAGCAGCCTCTGCCCTGGGAATCCAGTCTGAGGGTGCAAGCTCCCCCTTTCCCCCCCCCCTTAGGGTAGGGGTGAATAGAGGAGGGGTGGGGGGTGGGGGGAAGGGAGACAGGGAAATTAAAGCCCTAAGTTGGGCCGTGGTCATTTCAAGGAAGGAGCCGGGTCCATAGGGGGAGGTCCCAGGACTCTGCCCCTGGCATTGGGGGTTGGGGGGGCAGGGAGGCCCCCCTCCCTTCCCTTCGGGCCCCCCTTCCCCAGGGGCTGTGCTTCCATGCTCCTCGCCTCCCCCCACCCCACCCCCCCTTCAGCTCAGGACATGCCATAACTTAGGCTAAACTGTGAAAACTTCTCGTGGGGTTGGCCTGGGCCCCGCTGTCCAGGGGGCGGCTGGAGGCCCCTCGGTCCCAGGCCTTTGTCCAGCTGTGTCGGGGGCCTCCGCCCCTGCATCTTCTCAATGCACTTTAATAATAATGTCACATATTACTAATAAACAAGCTATTTATTTACCTGTGCCTGCTCTCTGCCTTCCGTGCCAGCTGTCCCGGGGCCGGGCGGGGGGGAGGATTGTGGTGAGACTCTGTGAGCACTGTTGCTGGGGGACCAGACCCCCTCAGCCATGCATCCCCAGCCCCCATAGCTCCTGTACCGCACCCCCTCCTCCTCTAACGCGCTGGCACCCTGGTGGGGAGGAGGCTGGTGTGCCAGGCAGAGCCCTAATCGAGGTGGGCACCCCAAACCACAGTGCCACAAGAGAAGAGTCCACGTGGTCCTGAGAGGCCTTGCTTCCCATCTTCTCTGTACTAGCCGCAGCCACTGCTGGAAGTGTGTGTGTGTGTGTGTGTGTGTGTGTAAGACACTTGGGACAGTCCCCCCACTTATCCAACCACCAGCCCAGCCTCTGATCAGTTCTGGCAGAGCTGGAATGAGGTACGCTTACCCCTGCCACCAGCATTCCACCCCCCCCATCCCCCGCCCCCTTCCACGGTGACCAAGAGACCTGCAGGGGCTCCACAGCTTTTTTGGGGGGTGCTGTGGTGAGCCACCGAGCCCTGTGCATCCAGGCAGGAGATGAGCCCATGTAAATCCCGTGTAAATCTCATGTAAATGAGGCCTCCCAGAGCTCCTCCACCTCCGCCCCCCACCCCCTACACACACACAAGGTTCCTGTCTGATGGCCGGCGGGGCCTCTGCTGGAGGTGGGCAGGTGTCTGGAGGCCAGGCCTGGTGGCAGGAAGATCAGTCACAGGGCAGCCATGTGACATGCCCAGGGCCAGTGTGGGCCGAGGGCGGAGCCGGGCCTGTCCCTCTGCTTCTCACCCCTGCCTGCTCTCCTTGGGACAGCAGAGGGCCAGAGATGTGAAGGCCTGAAGCCTGGCCCTGCTGCACACCGTGATCCCCGGGCGTGCTGGAGGGTGCTCCCACCTGAGATGTCAGGATGGCGTGGAATTCTTCAGTGGGATTCCTCCTCCACCTCTCCTCCCTCTTCCTCTTCCTTTTCCTTCTCCTCCTTCTTTTCCTCCTCAAGTTTCTCCTCTTCTTGATCTCCTTCTCCTTTGTCTCCTCTTTTCCCTTCTCCTTCTCCCCCTCCTCCTCCTCCTTCTCTTTCTTCTTTTTGTGCCAGTCCTGGGGCTTGAATTTAGGCCCTGGGAGGAATTCAGATCTGTTTATTCTTTTATTTCTCTTTTTGTCAGTCATGGGGCTTGAACTCTGGGCCTGGGCGCTGTCCCTCAGCTCTTCAGCTCAAGGCGAGCGCTCTACCACTGGAGCCACAGCGCCTCTTCTAGTTTTCTGAGTGGTTTATTAGAGATAAGAGTCTCAAGACTTTCATGCCTGGGCTGGCTTTGAACTGTGATCCTCAGGTCTCAGTCTGCTGAGTACCTAGGATTACAGGCGTGAGCCACTGGCACCCAACCAGATCTGTTTATTCTTGAACAATTGGTTCAATTTCTTACTGTTCTAGTGATTTTTCAGCCTTGGTTCCTCTTTCACAAATTCTGAACCAAGCATATTATTATTACTATTATTATTATTAGGCCTCCCTTTTTTTTCTCTCCAGTTTGTCTCCCTTTGAACTTTGATGCTTAATCCTCAGCCTCCAGAGTAGCTAGGCTTCCAGGCATGAGCACCAATGCCTGACTTCTAGTTCCTTATTTGGCCTAATTTTAGCCTCTCATTGTCTGGACAAGAATGGGGAGGCCCTGGTCCAGACAGGAGGTTCTGTGGGCGCGGGCTGGCGCAGGGGGGCTGGCCGGGCTAAATCTGGCTCAGGAAGTACTTTCATGTTATTGTTTCGCTCTGGGACAAAGAGACCTTGGGACAAAACAAAAACAAAGTTCACAGTCTCAGGGTCAGGATGACCCACACAGGCCAGTTTCCACAGGGAGGGAAGGGGAGGGGAGGGTGCAGGGCTACACCCCAGGGACAGCCGCCCTGCTAGCTTGCTAGTGGCATGACCAAACGGGAAGGGAAAGCACTGAACACAGCCTGGCACAGGTGGTGACTCCAAGTGGGGTGACCTGAATAGGATCGGAAAGGGTGTGGGTAGGGGTGAACACCTGCTGCAGGCAAATGCATAGCACCCCATGCACCTGTCTAAACGCATAGCACCCCATGCACCTGTCTAAACGCATAGCACCCCATGCACCTGTCTAAACGCATAGCACCCCATGCACCTGTCGGCCTGCTCAAGACAGCACGAATCAATTGCCGAACCTTCTCCTGTGTCCCTGGGAGCCATTTTCCTCTAGAGCTCCTTTCTCAGGGTCTCAGGACCTGAAAGGAAATGGGCCTAAGTAGTAAAGACATCTTAGATTGCGAAAAGCTACTACAGAGCTGAGTGCTGGTGGCTCCCGCCTGTCATCCCAGCGATTCCAGAGGCTGAGATCTGAGGATCCTAGTTCAAAGCCAGCCCAGGCAGGAAAATTTGTGAGACCTATTATCTCCAATTAATCACTAAAAAAGTTCCCAGTGGAGCTGTGGCTCAAGTGGTAGAAGGCTGGACTTGAGTGAAAAAGCTCAGGGACAGTATCCAGGCCCTGCGTTCAAGCCCCAGAATAGGTATACACACACACACACACACACACACACACTACCTAACGTGGAAAGAAGGATTTATCTCAGCTTACTATATGGTTCTACACATGGAAATGAGGAAAGTTTGAATATATTGTGCTGAATATAATATGAAATTTAAATCGCTGAGGTTCTGAGTGCTCTATATAGTTGTTTTTTTTTTTTTTTT